CGGCCTGTGGCTCACTTGGGAGAGTGTGGTGCTAATAACACCGAGGCCACGGGTTCGGATCCCACATAGGGATGGCCGGTTCGCTCCCTGGGGGGGGGTGGTGCTGACAACACCAAGTCAAAGGGTTAAGATCCCCTTAACCGGTCATCTTTTAAAAAAAAAAAAAAAAAAAGTTACGATAACAGTTAAAAAGCAGGGGAGAGGGATGGGAACAGGAAGTTGACAGTAAGTATATGAAGTTGACATTTTTTCCCTGTCTTTTTTTTTTTTTAAAGTTGACATATTTTGAGAGAAACAGAGTAACCACCAAGAGAAATAAAAAAGAACGTATAAAAGCTTTTGCTTTTCAAATGGACAATTGGGGACACAGCTGAATGGGACTGGGTGGGTGCTATGGACTGAATTGTGTCTGCCCCCAGCACACACTCAAGTCCACATATTGAAGCCCTAATCCCTGATGTGGCTGTATGTGGAGATAGAGTCTTTAGGAGGTAAATTAAGGTTAAATGAGGTCATAAGGGTGGGGCCCTAATCCAATAGGATTAGTGTCTTTATCAGAAGAGATGCCAGAGAGTGCTCTCTGTCTCTCCCCTTAACGCATGAATGTAGGAAAAGGCTATGTGAGAAGGCAGCCATCTGCAAGTGAGGAAAAGAGCCCTCACCAGGAACCCAGTCAACCGGCATCTTGATCTTGTTACTTCCAGCCTCTAGAACTATGAGAAAATAAATGTCTGCTGTTTAAGCCACCCAGTTATGGTAGCTGTAGCAGACCAATACCATAGGGAAGGGAACCTTGCTTTTCACTATAAGATTTTCTGCACAATTTGATTTGTAAAACTATGTGCAAGTTTTGTTTTGTCAAAAAAATGTGAGGGTACTTCAAAAAGTTGTGGGAAAATAGAATTAAAAGACAATATGATGGGCTAGCTGGTTAGTTCACTCAGTTACAGCATGGTGCTGATGACACCAAGGTCAAGAGTTCAGATCCCCTTAGCAGCCTGCAGCCAAAAAGAAAAAAAAAAGATAACATGAACCTTTCCAAGAACTTCTTGAAGTACCCCGGTACATATTTTTAAACAACACTGGTCTCCATGCTTGCAATCTTCTCTCCACATACCTGAGAAAGTTCTCCTTTGCCTTCAGTGTGTTTTGCTGAAGTGACAGAGAGTGCCTTGCCAGAGAGTGAACTTCCACTTGACTGACATCATACTGAGTCAGTTGCTGACATCATACTATCGTTCTACTTATGGATGCTTCAAGATCAAGGCCAGGACTACGTAGGGTGAAGCAAAGCAGGCCTTCAGGTGGTAAATACAAAGAGTCACTCACTCTCAGCATCTGCCAAGTGCAAGATCCTCACTCGAGAGTGGCACTTCCTTAAAGTTTGCTCCTTAAGTACATCACTTGCCTCACCCTATATCCTGCCTTGACTGTAGACAACTTTAATCACTGAATGAGTAAGTGAATGAATAAAGGCTCTTCACTTCTGCTGTAGTTGTTGGGAAGACTCACTTTATATGTCAACTTGGCTAGGCCACAGTATGCCAGATACTGGGCCAATCATTATTCCAGATGTTTCTGTGAGGGTGTTCATTAGATGAGTTTAACATTTAAATCAGTAGACTTTGTGTAAAGATTACCTTCCTTACTGGGAGCCTCATCCAATCAGTCGAAAGCCTTAATAGAAAAAGACTGATGGAATCCTGCCAGCAGACTACCTTCAGACCCAAACTGCAACTCTTTCCTGGGTCTCCAGCCTGCCAGCCCACTCTGCCAATTTTGAACTTGGCAGTCTCCACAATGAAGTGCACAAATTCCTTAAAATAAATCTACGGAGTCAGCCCTCTATATCCACAGGTTCTGCATCCATGGATTCAACCCGCACAATAAAAAATAATACATTTAAAAACATAGCATTTAGGGCCGGCCCAGTGGCTCACTCGGGAGAGTGCGGTGCTGATAACACCAAGGCCATGGGTTCGGATCCCATATAGGGATGGCCGGTTCACTCACTGGCTGGGCGTGGTGCTGACAACACCAAGCCAAGGGTTGAGATCCCCTTACCAGTCATCTTTAAAAAAAAAAAAAAAAAAAAAAAACATAGCATTTACATTGTATTAGGTATTATAAATAATTTAAAGATGACAAAGTATACAGAGAATGTGTGTATGTTATATGCAAATACCACGCCATTTTACGTAAGGAACTTGAGCATCCTTGAATTTTGATATCTGCGGGGGTCCTGGAACCAATCCCCAACAGATATTGAGGGACAACTGTGTGTGTGTATCACTGGCTTTTCTCATGAGCTCTGTGGGGGCAGGCCTGGGCCTCTCTGGGTCACCCCTGGATCCCCCTAGATCCCAAATGCTGAGAGTGGCCCAAGCGGGAGCTCAGGAAATGTGGGATACAGTTGCCAGATGAACTGCAGCCAACCAACCACTGAGGAAAGCTTAGGCTGTTTGGAGGCACAAAGTGTTCCAGAGTTATTGTGACTTACCCTGGGGCTGACCCTGAGGGAGAAGGCCCAGGTTTCACCCCCCAGCAAGCTCCCACCTGCCTCCTTGTTGATTCCCTGGGCAGCAGAGAGAGACCATACCCACAGGCCTTTTAAAATAACTGCATCCTTTAATGGCAGTAATACAATTATTGGATTAAGAGACCATAGAAGAAAAAGCAGGTGACATTTCTGGAAGACAGATACGAAATACAAAAAGGGGGGTGGAATAGAGTCATGCGACGATCATTGTAAAAATACAGTACATTATATACATATGTGCACCATCAACTTTCAACTCTGAAATAGTATTTACACTTTTGTTACAATCCTGGTTAGAGAACAATTTTTCTTTAAAAGCTTGGCCTGATGGCAAATGAAAATTTTGGGTGAATTCATAGTCCCATGAGGTTCTTAGGCTGAATATTCCAAGAGGAGGGGTCCAGCTTCTATTTCATCCACAGATTTTAGTTTTAAAAAAGTATTTAATTTTTCATTTACAAAAGAAAATTCTCAAAGGAGGAAAAAATAAAAACCAAAACACTGTCATACTGTGTATTCTGACTTATTTTACAAACACCCTGGGCTGCAGCCCTCTGCTTCAAGGCCAACACTGGTGGCTGAAGACAAATCTCACTAATGATTGTTTTTAAAAAAACAAAACAGACAAAAAGACAAACCAAACCAACCTGATCACAGCGCACTGACCCTCTGGGGCTGCCTGGCCCTGCAGGGTGCCCTGCCTCTCCTGCCCTTGCTTCTGGCCCCAAACTAACAAGTTTTTAATTTCTCTTTTTTGAGTGATGGTGGTGGGGGGGTTAGGAGCTCTGTTCACCTCCCACCCCAGGGAAGTAGGGGGGGAATCTTTTGGCGGGGTGATCAGGTCTCTTCATTATTCACAAGGAAGAGACAGGGAGGCAATTGAGGCAGTGGGACTAGGCCAAAAAGGTTGGAGAGGGAAACACAAGTAAACAGACCCAGAAGTGGAAAGGCTCTGTAGGCCCTGCCCAGTTCCCCTAGGGCCAGCCTCCCCAGGCTATGCCCACACGGTAGGCCTCCTCTGGGGATCTGCGGACCAGGCTGGACTTCAGCCAGGGTAGGAAACCTGGGGGGGAGGAAAAAGCCAGTGCAGACATCTCTGTTCTGTTCTGGCTCAGTCAGATGAGGGGGCAGGACACAGTCTTTCATGCCCCCTGCCCCCAGTAGAGTCCTAGTCCCTCTCCTTAAAGGGTCCAACACACCCTTTCCTCCATCCTGGATGCAGTCTCCCACCCTTTCCTTAGGCCCCTTTTCTAGAAGTGTCCACAAATCTAACACCGTGACACTCCTCTGAACTCATGCATGTTGGCTTGGGAGAAAAAAACCAAACACACCAAAACCTAATGCCCTACAGATAATACGGCTGAAGGATGTGTGAAGCAAGAAGAGAAAGCAGAAACACTTTGCCAAAGAGCCACCCCAGGGCTCCCTCTGTTGAGAGCCTGGAGGAGTGGCTATGCCACGGATCCTTGAGCTATCTCCAGGGGGGTTGGGCTGGCAGTGCAGGCACACTGGGCTGTGGCTTCTCAGGACAGGGCAGATTCCAGCATGGGGGGAGTGGGGGGCAGTAGATTGTGACCCTGACATAACAGGACAGGTTGGGTAATACTGACAGAAAACGCACTCAGAGGGCTGCCTCCTGGAGGCAGCTCTTCAGGGGCCACTGCCTCACGCCAGCCCCGTTCCTCCAGGTCCGTCTCTCACCCTGGAGTCTTCTGCTGCAAGTTGGAAGGTGTCAGTTTCAGGATGAACTCTGGACGGAGGGTGGCAGGGAGGGCCCAAATATGAATCCAGAGACATAGGAGTGGGCAAGGGCCAGGGAGCTCCCAGGGTGCTGTAAAGGGCTCTTTTTCTTCCCTTGATACTTTTTCACTTTTGCTGTCTCCTGAAGTGGCCTTCACAGCCTGTGCACTGAAGAGACAGACGGTGCACCCTGGGGTTCTAGAAAGGCCTGGAGCTGCCTCCACGTGGGCCGTTTCCCTGGTCTGGGTCCCACCTCTCCTTGCTCATTAGCACAGGATGAGTAACATACAGTGCCTTCTCAGACACCTACTGTTCCCTTTGTCCCGGGGGGGGGTGGGAGGTGGTGGCCAGCTTTGACCAGAAGACCCACTGGACCCCCAACCTCCAAGGAGGCCCAGCCCTGTAGAGTTCCAGCTGGGGCTGGGGCCCAGAGGACTCACAACTGTTCACATCACAAGACAGTTTTCTTGGTGGGAGTCCAGGAACCCCTCGCAGCACTGACCAGAACTGAAGATGGTTATATACAATTTATAAGTCTCTAAGAAAGCACTACTTTAAAAAAAAAAAAAAAAAGAAAGAAAAAAAGAAAAAAGAAAAAAGAAAAAAAAAGAACACCCACACCCCTTCTCCTGCCCCCTAAGTTCCCAACCCTGGTTGCTGCCCTTAAATATCACCCTGTGAGGGGTGGTGGGGGGTAGATAGTACTGGCTCTGGCTTAACACTACTGGCAAAAGGGGGAGGCAGTGGGGTCAAAGCCTTTAAAAACATCTTTCAGGGACCCTGCATCCTGCTCGCTCTCTCGGGCCGGGCTGTTGCCTGCAAATGGGCTACTTGAGCCTGTCTTGGGTGCCTGCTTCACAGTCCCAAAGAGGGTGGGCACAGGCAGGTTGTGCACCCCAGGTTGGGGTGGGGTGCCCTCTGGCGGAGGGGTCACTGTGGTGGTGGTGGGGGGGGTTGCGGCAGCCTTGGGCCTGGGCCGGTTGTAACTGTTGTACCTGTCCGTGACTGTGGTCACACCCCCATCTGCACCGGCTTTCCCTGGTTCTGGTTGTTCCAGGGCGGACTTACGGACAAATGGCGGATCCTTGGCTTTGGAGGCCGAGCTCTTGCCGTTGCCCTCGGGGCCCTTGGGCTGGGTGCCCGTGTCTGTAACTGGCTCCATGGCTTTGCCACCCGCGTTGGGAGTCCTTGGGTCGTAGAGACTAATGCCGCTCAGCACGCTGCTCTGGCCACTGCCACTGCCCTGGCCCAGCCCACCAGCTGCCAGCACGCGGGGATCGTAGGGTGCTGTGGCTGGCGGGGAGGACTCTCCACTGGGGCTGGCAGCTGGAGAGGGCACTTCAGTGGGACCAGGCTTGGCTGCCCGTGAGGCAGCTGCAGAGTCTGCTGGTTTCTGCAGCCGTGGGTCAGTGGGGGCCTTCCGCACTCGGGGGTCACTCGGCTTGTCGCTTGGGCCAGGGGCTGCCGGAGAGCTGGTGACATTGACGGTCTTGAGGATGCGAGAGAGGAGTTCAAAGTCGGGCAAGTTGGAGCCGGATGTACTGGGGTCCGTGGAGGTGCCCGGGCGCTGCCGGGCACTAGAGGGCCCTGCAGTCGTGGAGCGGTGCAGCCGGGGATCTAGGGCAGGCATGGACTGCAGGGCGGCGGGCACGGGGGGTACTGCATCCTGCTTGGGTATAGGCAAGGGGATCAGGTCCTCGGGGTTCCAGAGCACAGTGCGGGCAAAGCTCGGTTTGCTCAGGGTCACATCCTTCTTAATGTGGCTGAACTGCTGCAGCTGCGACCGTGGGTCCCGCAGCGGGTGTCCGGGGAGAGGGTCCAGGGGAATATTCACGGCCTTCTCCCTCAGGGCCCGCTCCCCTTCCTCCTCTTCTGCAGGGAGTGGTCCAGACCCCTTGGAGCTACTGGAGCCTGCGGGGCTGGAATGAAGGCTGCCTTCAGGCTTGGAGGTGGGCAGGGAACGGGCCAGCCGAGGGTCAGAGGGCCCTGAGTCCCCTGGGCCTGACCCACCAGAAGCCTCGGCATGGCGGGTAAGTCTCGGGTCCCGGCTGAGGCGGGGATCAGCCAGCCGGCCTCCTGTGGAGTGTCCCTTCTGGAGGCGGGGGTCCCCCAGCCCACTGGCGCTCAGCTCTCCGACTGTAGCCTGGGGTCGGCTGGACGTCTGCTGCCTCAGGGTCTTAAGGATGGAGGTGACACTGCTCCCACCCTCATCCTCATCACTGGAGTACCAGTTTCCGGTGTCACCTGAGAAAGAGCAGAGCAGGGAGGGTTGAGTGGCCAGCACATGCACCATCAGCCCTCTCGGACCTCATGGCAGCCCACAGGGTGAACAGCTCCTCTGCTCTTACCTCTCAGCACCTCAGACTTCCCTCTCTTAAGGAACCCCCTCTGCCCCATACCAGCTAGCCACCACCAAAAAAAAAAAAGTTGGCTGGCCAGCTGGCTCAGTTGGAGTTGGTTAGAACACAACCTTGTAACACCAAGGTCAAGGAAGGGTTCCGGGCCCTGTACTGGCCAGCTGCAGCTCCCCCACCCCCCCATAGAGAAGCTGAGAGGATTCAGGGGGTTCAGGTGCACTGAGCCCAGGGCCAGTGGCTAACATTTATGGAGCTTCCCTCCTGTGCCGGCACTGCTCTAACTGGTTTGTCTTACTTAAGTAACTCACAACCAGGGCTGTCCCATTAACTCAGTTGATTAGAGTGTGGTGCTGGTAACAATGAGATCCAGGGTTAGATCCCTGTACTGGCCAGCAGCCAAACACCCCCCCCCCCCCGATTCAGGGGGTTCAGGTGCACTGAGCCCAGGGCCAGTGGCTAACATTTATGGAGCTTCCCTCCTGTGCCAGCACTGCTCTAACTGGTTTGTCTTACTTAAGTAACTCACAACCAGGGCTGTCCCATTAACTCAGTTGATTAGAGTGTGGTGCTGGTAACAATGAGATCCAGGGTTAGATCCCTGTCCTGGCCAGCAGCCAAACCCCCCCCCCCCCAAAACTCAACCACTTCAGAAGATACTGTTATCATTATGCCCATTTGACAGTTGAGAAAACGGAGGCACAGTGCCATTAAATTGGGGGCAGAGCCAGGACTGAGCTCAGACTCCCAGCCCAGCACTCTGCCATCTCCTCCTCACCCTACAGCCTGCTCCAACCCCAACGTGGTATGCCCAGCTCTGGAGGTCTCGGCAGCAGCCACCACTCACTCAACTTCCACTGGGCTTGAGGCACACAGACACTTGCCCCCAGGACCCTCACAATGTTACTGTGTCCCAGATGAGGAAATGTGTGCTTACCAACCAGCTGATAAGAGGCGGAAACTGGCCCAAGCAGAATCTTCCAGGCAAGTGAAACCTGAGCCCCCAAGGGAAGGGCCACCTACTGTGCCCCTCTTCCTGCTGTCCCCACTGGCTCTAGGGTTCCTGTCATGGCCACCCATGGCCTCTGGCTTCAGGATCTAGACACCAATTGTTGACCATTTCACCCTGGGGTGGATGAAACCAGGTTGACCATGTGGTACCTGTGATTTGGTGGCTGTCTCTATGATTATTACTGGTTTATTTCAATGAGTATCCCTTGTCTGTTGGCTCTTGTCTCAAGAGTGTGGTCTCGGGAAAAGGGGGCTGTGAGCGTCCCCCTAAAGCCTTTGGCAGGGTGTAGGCAGTCAATCCTGTTGGCTGCCATCTGTTCCAGGCACCAGCCCTCTGCCCTCCTAGATGAGATCAGGGTCTCTCCCAAACCCCAAGTCCTAGAGGACAGCCCTAACTTCCAGTTTTCTCAGGGACATGCAGCAGCCCCAGCCTGGCTTCATGGCCTGGACAGGAGTCTCCCTGGCCATAGGCTCCTTGCCGACAGGAAAGCCGACCTGGGCGCTTCCCACCTCTCCCCTGCACAGCAGCCCGGGGAGGACACGTGCCTTCCTCGTTCTCCCGGTCCTGCTTGCTGCTCTCAGCCAGCCTCCTCGCTCTCTCCTCCTCCTCCTGCTGCTTCTGCTGGATCCTCAGGTACAGGGCCCGCTGGGCCGAGGGCAGGAAGTCAGGGACACCGGCGCCCAGCTTCGGCCGGCCTGGGGGCCCTCCCTCAGAGAAGCTGTCGGGCTCCAGAGGGTGCTCAGGGAAGAGGTGCTCCCCAGGCTCCCCTGGCAGCTCTTCGTAGTGCCCGTAGTCCTCTGTGGCAGGGAAGAACCGAGGGTTCATGTCGGGAAGAGCCTCGAGGTGCCAACTCCAGCCCCCCTTGCCCTTAACTGGAAAGGCCAACCCCGCGATGGTGAGGACACATGGCCTTTCCCACCCTCCCCAGGTAACGGAAAGCCCAAGAACGGAGACTGGAGCAGCCCACCGGGAAGTTCCCAACTATGATGCAGCTGTGAAGAATGAGGTTCACATAGAGGTTTTAGTGACATGGGCAAATGCTTATGAGGTGAAAACAGGACGGAACATTGTATGTGTGTCTATGAAACAATGAAAAAGCTTTGAAAAGAAAAACAGAAAACAATCCCTCTGGGAATGAGATTCTGGAGAGACTGGCTGATCTTTCACTTTTTTACTCCACATGCTTCTGATTTGTTTTAATCATTTGAGATGGGCATTAGTCTCAGTTTCTCTGTAATCATCAACAAAGAAAAACACTGTATCTCACCAGTGAGTTCATAGTATGATCTCAACAATGTCAAAAAATAAAAACCAGGAAAAGAAGAGAATGAAATACACCAAAATGCTGCTTTGGCCGCAAGTCAACCCAGAGGCTGTGGGAGACTCTTCCTCCTCACAGGCTCCTGAATTCCACAAATTCTGATAGGCATGCTGCTGCACTAAAGGCGGGGGTGGGGTGGGGGTGGGGTTCTCCCCCGCAGCATCAGAGTCCACCTTCGCTCCTGAGGGGCAGTGCCCAGAACTAGCCACCTCCCTCCACAAACTCCTCTGATGTTGGAGCCTCACAGGCTGATGTGAGGAGGAAGACCCAGCATGCACGTGACAAGGGCAGGCTCAGTATCATTGTGCATGTGAGTGAGACTGATGTGAGTGTGGGAGAGAGTGAGTCACCAGGCAAGACACCGTCTAGAGTCAGTGCTGTCATGCAGGACATTCTGCAATGATGGAAATGTTCTGTATCTGCACCGTGCAACAAGGCTGTCACTGTCCCCCTGGGGCTCCTGGGCATGTGAAAATGTGGCAAGTCCTACCAACAAAGTGAGTCTGTAATCCACTTTCAATTTATATGATTACAAATTATTAAATTTGTAAATGTTTCATATGCAAAAGTATAAAAAGCAAAAAGTGAAAGGCTGCCTTCCACTAGCACTCGAACTTGGTCATGTGAGCCTGATGGGCGAGCCTGCTCCATGCCACACCCCAGCTCACAGCTGAAAAAACTCACAGTGAATGAGACAAGGCTCCCCCTTCACAGAATGTACATCCTGAATACACTAAAAACACTAACTTTTATAAATCCACTTCTAAAAGATGGACTTTATGGTATGAGAATTACATCTCAATCCTTAAACAAAGTGACGAACTTGAGAGACACCTACTGTTAACAGCTTGCCTGACTTCTGGTTGCCCTCCTCCCCCTGCCCCAGAACTTTTTCCATGCACGTTTTACATAAATTTATTATGGGGGGGTGAGATAGGAACCCCAGCACACTCGCTCTCAGTAGCCTGCTTCTCTCACTCAAGAATACAACACTCATCTTTCTAAAGCCACAACACCTGCTCTTACAGCTCCAAACACCATGAAGACACCAAAGACTCGCCAGTGTCTCCCCGACACCCTCCAACTAACCCCACAAAATTTCTGTATGGTTGTCAAATGGGCATCTCACGCTTAACATGGCCAAAGCAGAAGCACTGCTGCCCAACCAGGTATGGTGTGAGCACCCACCAGCTGACTCTGCCCCACGTCCAGCACCCCCCTCGTTGGAGCTGCTCCTGCCAACCTTGCAAAGCAAATAGGTGGGGTCATGTTGGCCCCATAGCGCCGTGTCCAAACCATGATGTCTAACTCTGCTACTCCCAGCCACTACCCTGTTCACCTCTGTCCAGGACAACTCCACAGCAGCCCAGAAGCTTCCCCAATTCCACTCTCGCCCCTACCATCCATCGCCCCATCACACTTCACAGTAACAATAAGGCCCCCCTTGCTACCAACAGTTTCATGCACTGGGACTTCTCTCCCTCATTGTTCCTTCCCAAGCTACATGGGCCACCTTTGCTTTGCTCAGACAAGCTGGCTGGCTGGGGCCTTGGCACCTGTTGTGCTTCCTACGCAGCCCCCATCCATGGCTGCTTCCCTCCACTCACATCTTGAGTTGCGTTTCACTTTTCAGAGCGGCTTTTGCTGACTGTCCCGGCAGAGGCACGGAACTTCACACTGTCCCTCCCATCACCCCATCTACTCTTCTTCTAACAATGGCCAATGCAGAAATGAGCTGATTCACTTCTTTTCAAGTTTACTCTCTGCTTCCCTCCACCAAAACGCAGCTAAGGCACTGGCTTAGCTCTCTGTGGCAGGTTCACTGGCTGTGATCCCAGGGCCAGGGAGCAAATCTCCTCCTGCATTCTGAAGGCTGCACACTTTATCTCCTGCAGGGGCATCATCAATCCCCTCTGAATGTTGGACATATAGGTTGTTACTAATACAAAAGAAGGAAGGAAAACGGCCAGTCATGGGGACAGAACAAGCACAGTCACAGGGTTGACAATAGCAGCTCCAAGCCAAGAACTGTCTAGAAGGCAGCTTTGGCAAGGGCACTGGACTTATTCCTGACAGGGGCCTTAGCCTTTTAGCCCCACGCCAGTCCACACTTGTTCCTCTAACTCCCCATGCTCCCGATTCCAGGCACACTGAGAAAAATTTCCTAAAAATTAAATAAACTATACCATTAATAAACATAACACTCCTTTCTGCCTCAATAAAATAATGAATCCTATGTCACCGAAAATTAAATGGGACAGAGATGGGAGCTGGATTCATGATTCCAAAGAGACTTCTACCAAGAAAGAAAAGTCTTATCTTCCTGAGTCCATTCCACTGTGCAAACCCTGCAGCCCCATGCAGCCCTCCATACCTGCATCACCAAGGAGTCCGGGCTCCATTTCCATGCCTTCTTGCTGCTGGTAGAAGTTTTCATAGAAGTTCTGGGCTGGTGGGATGGGGGGCATCATTCCAGAATGTGGGGAGTCTCCAGGACCATACGGCATCATTGGAGGGCCACCAGGTCCCATGGGTGGGCCAGGGTTCATGCCAGGGCCCATTGGCATATCAGGGTGCATATCCGGGTGCATGTCGGGGTGCATGTCCGGGTGCATGTCAGGATGCATGTCGGGATGCATTGGACCCCCCATTGGCCCTGGAGGTCCCATGTTGGGCCCAGGGCCCATTGGCCCTGGAGGCCCACCGGGTCCAGGAAACCTAGAGGAGGAAAAAATGGTGCCTGTGAAACAAGCTTCGGGGGAAGGGCAGTGGCTACAACCCAGGACCATGGAGGGCAACACAGGCCAAACAAGCTTGCCAAGCAAGAGAAGGACTATGGAGCTCAAGGTCACGGGCCCTAGACCACGACTCTGACCATTTCAGACAGAGGCAGGCCCCTGCCCCCACCAGGCTCACATTGTCAGGAGGAGCTTGGCCAAGCCCAAGCCCAGGACAGCCCTTACTGGCCTGGCTCAGAGGCCCAGGGCACTCACCTCACACCCAGCTTCTCAGCCAGCTGTCCTGTGGGCCGCACCACAATCTCAAACAAGGAAGGGATCTTCTTGTTGTACATGTCCTGCTGCTGCTGTAGCTGCTGTGGGGACAGCGGCTCGTGAACTGGCATGGGCATCTGAGGGGGCCCTGGAGGAGGAGGTGGAGGAGGGGGTGGCGGTGGGGGGCCACCCTGCATGGGCCTGCCGTTCGGAGAGGTGGGGGCAGGGGGACCAGGAGGACGAGGCGGGGTGGGCAGGAGGCCCACTCCAGGAGGTGGTTTGGGCAGGGGGTTGATGCCCTGCTTTTTCAGTTCTTCAACTTCCTTCTCGTCTTCAGCGCCTGCTTCTGCATCATCAGCCAACATCTGTAGGAGAGAGAGAGAGTAGAAAAGAGTAATCGTGCGAAGGCTCAGATAGGAGCCAGGCTAAAAGGGACCTGTCCATCACTGAGAGTGGAATTTTATGAGGAAGAATCTAAAACACGAAGACCCTGAGGCCCTTACAGTCTAAGGCCAAGGACAACAATTCCTCTTTGGAGTAAAAATTATCTCTGGTAATAGTTGGCAGGGGGGAGCCACTCCTGTTCTGTGTCAAAATATATATATATATATAACATAAAGTATACTATCTTAACCATTTTAAAGTGCGTAATTCAGCACATTAGCAATATTGTGCAATCACCACCTCTAGTTCTAGCATGTTTTCATCAATCCCCACTCCCTCAAGCCCTGGGCAACCACCAATCTGCTTTCTGTCTCTATGGATTTGTCTATTCCAAACATATCATATGCATGGAATCACATTTTAGGTGGCCTTTTGTGACTGGCTTCTTTCACTTAGCAAGGTTGTAACATCTAATAATATTTCATTCCTTTTTGTAACTGAATAATATTCCACTGTCCTTGGATTTTAAGGGTCTTTTGTTTTACCTCCAATAAAACTCAACTCCTGACTGTGACCCTCAGGGCCTGAGAGCAGTGCTGAGTGTGTACAGAGGACTAAGCAGCTCCCTGGTGGCTTCATATCCTTCCACAATCCTGACTCTGCGACCCTAACCACCCAGCCTCATTTCAGCTTTATGCATGGCCATGTTCTCCCTGCAGGGCCCCAGCCTGGACCAGACTTCTCCCCAGACTCTTATTTTTCCCTCTATTCCTGTGTGGCTCCTTGTTACCCAATTGATAGGGTCTCTTATTAAATTTCAGCTCACAGTGACTGTCCCAGTCTCCTGGATTCATTACTGGAGCATCATTAGTTCCTTTCTAAGCACTGCCTTCAACTTGTAAGGTTATGTATTCAGTTGTTCTCTCGTCTATTCCTGTCAACTCCATGACAACTGTTTCCTTCCCTGTTGCATCCCCAGGACCTGGCACAGCACCTGATATAGGTAGATGTCCAATGAATTACTGAAAAATTTCAAAGCCTGGACTGGACCAACATGTCTCACCAATTAGGATCTTATGCAGAAAAGAGTTAACACAGCAGGCCTGACTGATCTCAGAAGGCTTGCTTGCAAGGCTGGCCCTTGGTTGCATCTGGGAACCTGGATTTCGGGAGGGTTCCCAGCATTCTCTAACAAGAGGGACTCACTGTGCCTAAACTGTGTGCAAACAATGCAGTTTATGCTGAACACCTGCTTTCCATCAGTACTGGAAAACAGTGCTGGGGGTCTGGAATTTTGGTATATGCCAGGCAGAGGTGCCTATGTGACCAGCTCCTACTGAAAATCCTGAGCACTGACTGAGTCTCCAATGAGCCTCTCTGGTAGACAGCATTTCACTAATGTTGTCACAACTTGAGGAGTCAAGTGCATCCCGTGTGGTTCCACCAGGAGAGGACTCTGAAAGTCCGAACCTGGTTTCCTCCAGACTTCACCCCATGCGCCTTTCCCCTTTCCTGATTTTGCTTTGTGTCCTTCACTGTAGTAAAATCTCAGCTGTGAGGCCCTCTAGCAAATTGCTGAACCTGGGCTCAGGGACGTCGTGGAGACCCTGGCACAGATCCCTTGGTGAATCCTAACATTGGGTGAGGATAAACTCCTCCTCCTCTGCCAGGGACAGCAAGTGTGGCAATTCACAGCTTTCCTCTCTCCTTACCATCAGCAGCAATATCTGGACATTCTGAGAAAAATGTCACTTCATGGAGGGGAGATGGAAAACTGGTAGGTGAAACCATCAGTCCCTTAGAGCCCTGCTACTAGTCCAGGTGTGGTATGCATATGGACCAGTGGCGCAGAGGGACCCACTGAGGGGGAAATCCACACTCTGAGCCCGTTACAGTGTGGAAAACAGTGCCAGAGATGTGTCACGCTGAAGACAGCCCAGAGCCTCATGCCGTCTCTCGGCACTGCTGTCAGGACGGGCCCAGGCTGCTCTGTGCCCATCATAGCCCAAAAGCCCTTTCAGTTCCCCAACCCTGTGTGCAGCCGTGGCCTGCACTGTGCCTGCTGCCCGGCATCTCCCTCACCTTTCACTCCTACCACCAGGCATCCAGGTGCCAGTGCAGTGTCACTACCTCACAGGGCCTCCCTGGAATGCCTGCCTAGCCAGCAGAGCCCTGCTAGAGACCCTCCGGGCTCCCACACTGTTTCTTTACTGCCTGATCCCCATGCATCTTCAGTATCTACCAAAGGATTCACTCCTGTCTCCTCGCCTCTGCATTCCCCTGCCTAGCACAGACTAGGTGCTAATACACACTTAATGAATAAATAAGGAAAACAAACCAAAGCATCTCCCTCTGTATTTCTTGGACTCTAGACACCAACTCATTTGCATCAGGACAGCGGCAGCTGAGTCCAGCCCAGAGGGAAAAGGAGGTAAGGTCTTGCCTGGCTGAATGTGCTGCACCCACCACATGGTGCTCCTCTCTGGTGGGTCCCCCCTACATACCACCTCCCTCAGCCCCACCCACCCCATAGTTCTGGACTGGGGGCTCCCATGCTCATCTCTCTGGCCAGACCTGAAGATGCCATCTCCATCTGGTCGAGCCTCATTCCAAATGACTGCTCCTTCTCAACAGTCTATGAGCTTGGCTCCATGAAAAACATCCTGCATCCTCCCAGCCCAAACCAGGATCTGGGGTGTTGTTCCCTTTTCTTATCCTCATACCCAAACATTGGTCCGGAGCTGCTACCTGGCCCTCCTGAAGTGGCTCACCTGCCCTCCCCACCCCCACCATCCTCTCTAGTCCCCTACACCATCCTCTGCACACCATGAGAGCAACCTTCATGGTCACAAAGACAGCCGTGTGCCTGCACTGCTAAATCCTTTCAATACAGCCTTGAGGCATTGAAAGGTGAAACTTAACAAGGTTTTACCTCATTAAACAGGAACAAATTTGACCATAGCCTCCTCTCCACCCTCCCCTCCCACCACACCCCTCCATGGTCTGGCCCCTGGATGTGCGATGTGCCACGTCCCCGTCCCA